AACTAGAAGATAGAAAGAAAGAAAGAAGCAAAAAAATGAGATTGTTAATTTATTTCATAACATTGTCAAAATTTTCAAAAAAAGGTTAACACCTTTGGCATATACCAAGTTTGCTGGGCCGTAGCCACCGGTACGGTTGCTTCGGTTGAAACCGAACCAACTTTCGGGGGGGGATTTGTAAAAAAATAAAAAATAAAAATAAAAATGAGAAAAATCATCGAAAAAAAGATTTTAAGAAATAATTAGAACGAGAACGAGTCAAGAAAAAGTACTTTTGCAACATTCAAAATCTGAGTACTTTAGGATGGGTTTGAAAAGACATTAAGTGTAGGAGGTTTTCCCTATACTTTTCCTTGCTCCTCTCCACCTACCCCCTACCCCTACCCCTCCCTCCTCCCTTGAAAACCGAACCAATCAAAAGTTGGTGGCTACGGCCCTGGTTTGAAAGAAGACACTGTAAAGCGAGTTTTCTTTAGATAGATAGATAAATAGATATTGTTATAGATACATATAGAAAGATCCGTAGATGCTTTATTTAAACACGCTGAAACTCTTCTGGATTTACAAGTAGTGATAATAATAATGATAAAAACTTGCTATAATACTAAAAACTAWAAAATATAATGTAATTCTACTCTACTAATCAGTTGATTAACTAATACTATGAATAGTAATGATGAAAAGGTAAATTATACACCGAGAAAAGATGAAAAAACTTACTGACGTTTCGGACGCTAGTCCTTCGTCGGAGTAAAAGAGAAAGAGGTGGTAGAAAGGAGTGTATATATGATAGAATAAGACAAAAGAAACCAATGAGAGCAAGGTAGGCAAGGAAGCAAAAACAATCAATCAAAAGACAAAAGAAAAGGTTAGTTGAAAGTAAAGCGTTCATTAATCCCGTTGGGACTAAGAGTGTCCATTAGGTGAATAAGCCGCATTTCTTTGGTCTTGCGACAATCATTGTTGCCGTTAATCAAAGAAAATACTATGAATAATAATGTGTACATGTGCCTTGGTAATATGAATGCCACGACATAAATAAGGACTATTAAAAGAGGAGAAAACATTAAACTAGCTGTTGGAAAACTGCCTGACAAATGAAAATTAAAAATAACGCGCAAAAACGTAACAGTTTATTTATTTTTGCTATTAATAACATGCTTCTTTTCGCTTTTCATTTCTCGTTTGGGATATACACTTATTTCAATAAAGTTAGTCGCCTGAAAAGCTACAAAGCTGAGACCAACAAGGATTATGGGTAGTTACATTTTACATGTTTCAACCGCTTTAATAACTGTTGATGGATTTTCGATCTTTTACCAGTTACAGTCTCACCTCTTCTGAGCATCATCRAGCTGCAAATTGTATCAAAAGCTTTACTTGTTTGGTATTAAAAGTTTCCCATAATCCTCAGTGATCTCAGCTTTCTAGGTTTTTTGGTGACTAACTTTATTGAAATAAGTGTATAAATCATATTAAATCATTGTAAGTATTTTTCGGTTTATTACAATATGGTGGTTTCTTTTTAAAAAGGCTGCCTATTTGATTATCAAACTTACCAAAAGTATATATATGCCAAATTGTCCGAGGAGAAACTAACAATTCAATTTGAGTATTATTTGTTTGGTGCCTTCAAAGGACGTTTTGAGTTGATGTAGCTGTGTCAATAGCGTTGGTTTTCCTCCCTCCCTTAAAATCAACTTGTGAGAAAGAAAGAAAGTAACTGAGTAAGTAAGTAAG